TTTCCTTTGTCATAAAAAAAAAACATAAGAATAACTCAAGCTAGTCCAAAATGTCTAAACAAAGTTTCGAAATATTTATCAAAAATATCAAAAGATTAGTGAAAATATTAATATAGCATCCTAATTAAGATCATGTACCATCAGCTACATAAATTTAATAGATCTGATTTTCTTTTGACAAAATTAAATTAATCTTCGTAAAGAGGTTTTATAAAGATGTTTATCAATTAATGTTTTATATCAATAAAGTCCAATAATATGTTATAATTGCTAACATGATCGCTAACAATAAATTTGTTTTTCTTACTTTTTGGTTTTAAATTATTTATATTTTTAGGAACCAAACTAATTTAAGATGATCATTATTTTAAGAGAGTATAAATAAGCATAATGATCATTATTTTTATACAAATATATTTAATTTTAGGGGATGTATAAGTATGCAACGTGGGTCATTTTGGTTGCAAATACTATTATTAGTGAATATATACCATCTTTTCCAAATATACTATATTGTTTAGTAAGAATCATATCAAGTAACTTATTTTTAACTTCAAAATTTTTTGATATTTGTCATAAAAACATATATACATATATATATATATATATATTTAAGAGATTATATTAATTATCACTATCAATTGACTCTTTTAAATAGTATTCTATTTTTATTTATGATAATTATTTTTATATATATTTTAAAGTATGCAACTGTAGTGATTTTTAAAATAACTCTTTTTTAAGTATAAGATGAGGTAACTCTAAATTTTCATATTTATCATAAGGAATACAAGAATGTTAATGTATATTTGTCATGCATAATTTTAATATATCATACTTATTAGTAAGTAAAATATGTTCTTTTTTAATAAACTATATCTTTTATCAATCCTTTTGAGTTCATCGTATAATTTATGAAATACTTCGAGACATCTTCTATAAGATAAAGAAGTTTTTGGGAGAATCAAATATTTCATTAAAGCGATTAAGATATTATTTGCAACTTATTTTTTGCTGAGTTACTTTTTCACGACTCATTTGATTTATCCTAAATTGTTTTGAATGTTTTTTTTCTCTTTTTCAAGTATGAACATTCATTATTAAAGTACCTTTACATTTTGTACGAGATTGAAACTTTCTTGGCTGGCTTTTGGTATTATATCTTTTTCTTATTTGATTTGTCTTATTTTTTCTTATAAACTTTTTGAATTCGTAGGAAACTCTTCTTCGTGAGCTTTGAATATCATTTTATAAGTTAGAAATTCTATGAAATTTTCATGAGGAAGATTGTTTAAATAGCTTCAATGTATCATTGTTATATTTGAATCTCAACTCTTGGGAAGATACTTTATGATCTTGCTTACTAATTTAATATTAGTATAACCTTTGCTAAATGCTTTTATTTATTATAACATTCATAAATCATCATTAATGAATTCGCTTGGTTTCATTTTAAATAACCAGGAACTAAAAAAATTAATTTTAGATTCTTTTACTATATTAATTCCTTATGTGTAACTTTATGTGTCATATACTATATGTAGCGTCATAAGTAGAAATTCGATTAAACTTATTTTCATCTAAAGTATAATATAAAACATTTATTACTTTAGCATTCAAAAAAAAAATTTATTTATAGAATAATTTAATTTATCTATTAGTTTTATATATTTTTGAAAACTAAGCTCAAAGACATTTTATAAATCACAATCCATAAAAGGTAACGATATGATCATGATTGCGCAACAAAGTTATTAAATTTCTCTTAGATATTAATCTAACTAAGAAAACTTTACTCTAATACTAATTATTATGATCTTAACGGTACTAAGAAGGAGAATCAATTAATATTATGATAAATTTTAATTGACTTTAAAATTTGATCAAGAAAAAGATGCATCGAAAATATAATTAATAAAATATTAAGTGAGAGTAAGAGTTAAGAGTAAAATAAACAACAACAAAAGTCTTGATAAAAGAAGGAATATAAATTAATTTATAGTGTTACAATCTTCCTAATATATATATATATATATATATATATATATATATATATATATATATATATATATATATATATATATATATTTGATTCCTTTTTCCTTGAAGCCATTTGCTTTTACTATTAATCTTTTTCTCAGTGGGTGAAGATCAACTATCATTTTATAACTTTCTTTTTTTTCAAACTTAAGAACCTTCGTAGTCAATCTTTTATAAAAGACCTTTCTAAAAGACCTTTCATCTCCTATCCAGATTGGATGCCCCGTTGAGCCAAAGTGGAATATTTATAACTTCCAAAAGGCTTCAAAAATAAAAATAAAAAAATAAATTTTCAAGATTTAGGGTATAAATAATACTATCATTGACTATGTGTGGTACTGCTATCATAACTATATCAGTGATACTATTATCGTCATAAGTACCGTCATTATAGGCGATACTATTATTGAAAAGGTTAACAAAACATAAATATGTTTGTCGACTTGGCACTATAGCTTAGGTTTGGCAATGCTACCGCTCATGTTTGCTTTAAACCATCTATTTGACCTTCTAATGGGCTTGATTATATTTTAATCTGATATTTAAATTGATCCAAAATGATATCGATTAAGATTTTGACATATCAACCGCTCAATATTTTTTTACAGTTTTCGATATATTATTCACTCTACAGACGTGTAATCTTATCTTTTGATAATTCATTTGAATATTTGGTATATCATTCTATCTTTTAATACATCACTCAATCTTTTAACTTGTTGATTTTGCTATGTTAACCGATCAATGATGCTTGAACCTTTAGTATAAAATTTAAACTTCAGCATGCTTGATCCTTCAACAATTTTGCTATGTTATATATATATATATATATATATATATATATATATATATATATATATATATATATATATATAT